AAAGAAAGTATGAGGAAAGATCCTTATCTGAATGGGCAGCATTGCTTCAAAGGCCATTTGCACTTTTGTAACCTACTCCTAGTTTCAGGCTCTTGTATCACATATTTATAGCCGATTTCAAACCAAACAGGGATCAGCATGTGACACCACGTTTGGTCAGCAAGAGCTAAAAATATTTGTGAGCCAAGAGGAAGGCATGGCCAAGAGGCACTGGTGGTGTAACCTGACAGCACTGCAGGTCTCCAGTTACACAGCTTGTGTAACTGGAATCACAGAACGTTCTCCTGCACGAGGGCAGTCTGACAGCAAAGCATTATGAAGGCCAGACTGCAAGTTCAGGGGGTTATTTGAAAGAGCAAGTAATCCAGATGATGCATTCAGGGAAAGGCAGTCCAGAAAAGGAAGCTCAGCACCTGCAGGGTTTGTTGGGCAGAGCACAGCTGCTACAAAGCTGGCCAGTGCTAGGATCTGGGACTACAGCAGCAGCCACGAACACCAGCAATTAGTCAGTGAAGTAGGGGTGAATTTCCACAGCACCAAAAGATAACCCCCATGACTCAGATAAAACTGCATGGTCTGCACTGCAGGAGTCGCTCAGAGAGTGCAAATGAACAAGACTCTCCCCTGGAAATACACTCACAGGCAGACCTGCAGAGCTAAGCTGGAGCTGCTCCCTCCCACTGGCAGAACACCCTCACAGCCACACACTCACCCTTATCCTTATCACAAGCCACAAGGCTTCCTAACATCGTGTTCACAGCCATCAGGTGTGAGCACTTCTCACCTCACCGAGGGGCAGGTCATGCTCTGACTCTTTCAGGAAATCAATATCTCTGGAGGAGATGATCCCAACCAGCTTGCCCCCCATCTTCCCATTGTCCGTGATGGGAATCCCACAAAATCCATGACGAGCTTTTGCTTCAAACACATCTCGCACTCGGTCATTGGGGCTCAGCACCACGGGGTCTGTGATGAATCCTTGCTCGTATTTCTGAAAGGAAGCAGATCCAGCAGCCAGGCTGAGTGGCACTGCCAGGCCAGACAGGAGCAAGGCACGTGCCTGCAGGTTACTGCAGCCACTCACACGGGTCTGCCAGCACCCAGCCTAGCCACATGCTCACCAACAGGACGACTCTCAAACCAGCAACAGGGCTCACTCAAATATGCTAAAATTGAAGAGCCTGCAGGTTAACCTCCTCTCTGAAATGATGGGGAATATTCCCACGCCAGGAAGACTGAAGTCCCAGGCTGACCATAGACAGTGCTGGGTACATAACAAGAGGGCTGTGCCTGCAAACCCTGGCAGCACTACAGCTCTGAAACACGAAGATCGGGCACACGTCAGCAATCTCCTCGCACAGCTCACCCAGCGAGGCCAGACCCGCCGCCCAGCTCCAGGGAGCCCCCAGTGCCAGCACGGTTTGGCGCTGCCCTCACAACGCTCGCTCACCTTCACCTTGCGCACCTCGTTGGCCTGGAACTCCGGGGTGCAGTTGTGGTGGATGAAGCCAATCCCGCCGGTCAGCTGGGGACACAGAGGCGGCCGTGAGGCACCGCAGCGCTGCAGCAGCGGGGTCGGCCCCGATGGAGCTGCGGGGACCCCGGGCAGGCGCGGGTGCCTCAGCAGCCCCGCCAGCCCGGGCAGGGCGGCACTCACCGCCATGGCGATGGCCATGCTGGCCTCGGTGACGGTGTCCATGGGCGAGGAGACCAGCGGGGTCTTGAGCGTGATTCTCTTGGTCAGCGCCGAGGTCAGGTCCTGGCGGGAGGCAGGCGGCGGGTGAGCGGCGCAACCCCCGGCCCGGCCCCCGGCCCGCTCCCCCGCCCCGGCCACTCACCACCTGGTCCGCCGTGAAGTCGATGTACCCCGGGAGGATGAGGAAATCGCTGCGGGGGAACGAGCGGGAGACGCGTCAGCCACGGCGGCGGCCCCGCGCCCCAGGTCCCGGTCCCACCCCCGCGCCGGCCGCACTCACTTGTAGGTGAGCCCATCGCCGCAGCTGAAGAGCTGCTGAGCCGTCAGCCCGTCCGCACAGCGCCCCCTGGCGCCGTGGAGGGCCCCGCGGTGTGCCAGGCGGCACCGGGCCCGCACCGGGCACGCACCGGGCCCGCGCCGCTCCCAGCCCCCGCGGTGCCTGCTGGGCAGCTTCTCGGCACCGAGCCCGCAGGTCTTCAGCCTGGTGACATCCGGTCACCGCGGCTGTTCTGTGTCCAGTAGGCACTGCGTGCCTGGTTTGGCTGGCACCAGTGGTGTGAAACCTGCTAGAAGATCACCTAAAAAAGCCCAGCTACAGGTGACACGGTGACATGCACAGAGAGACACTGTGGATTAGGAGCTGAGTCCTACACCAGGTACTCCACAGCTTCAGAAGACAAGAATGGGCTTGTTGTGGTGGTGAATGCAGAGCTGGGACAAACCAGCAGAATCCAAAGCAATTTTGTGAGTCAAAGGGGGCTGCACAAAGGATGAAAGTCAAGAGGCAGCAGCGAGGCCAGTCTTGCACCTCAAAGGGAAATGAATGGCAGAGAGGCAGCAGTCTCACCAGAGAGGATCCAAGGTGATCCCAGCTGGGCATTAGCCCCCTGTTCCCAAAGCCACCAGGCCAGGCTGTACAAACAGTGTGAAGAGACAGCTGCACACGGGGAATGGGGGTGTAGCACCTCCAGATCTGTGCCACAGATTGGGGCTGGAGGGAGGATTTTGGAGAAGAGCAGTAGCAGGGGAACTGTGCCCAGAGGAGAACAGGCACAAACACAGATTTGCCTCAGAGGAGCCTTACAGGACATAGCAGTTGGCTTTTTCCAGGATGAGATGTTCCCATCCCTGCAGTTCCATTCGCGCATCAGGAAAAGTTCCTGTACTGCAGGTTACTGAACAACTTCCTCCTCTTGGTTTACTTGTTGTGATATTCCAGAATCAGCCTCAGAGCACAAGGGACATGAGACAACCACACCCCTCCTCACCTGCTCCCTATAACACCCTGCCCAAGGCAACGCCCTAACACTAACTAGTTCAGGGACTAAAGTACAGTGCTCCTGTGCCTGCAACTCCCTGCTGTAGAAGGTTAATTCCTTGTCCAAAGATCAGAAAGCAGCTTCAAGAAATGTGTTACTCAAGTTACTCTGCAGGACACAGGAAACGTGAACAGAGATGGGGAAGCGCTGCCTGCCAAGGACGTGCACTCGAGTCAGCATCACCTGTCACAGGATCGGCACAACAGCAGGTGCCATGCCACACCAAGAGCAGTATGACAGGACTCTCTACCTTTATTTTAAAAAAGAACAGGCTAACAAATGTTTGCTGAGCCTACCTGGGAGGCACACACGGATCTGAGCTGTTGTGCTACGGGCACAGGCACAGCAGTAAACAGGCACATTGGCTTCTGTTCCAACAGAAACATCGGGCACAGTTTAATGGTTCTCAAACAGACTACAACAAAGGCTGCAGGGAAAAACATTTTATTTCCAAGCAGATTACAAAGAGCAGAGAATATAAGAGTAAAATTAAATTAAAAAAATAGTTGAGTGCATCTCTTTAAAATGATTTGTAGTGTGAGTTACTCACGGGGCAAAGCTACTGGAGAGTTCTGAAGGTCACTTTGCAGGATGCCAATCACATGTGCTGTTTAGACCTGGGTCAACACAGGAGGGACAGACAAGATGTATTTTGCATATAGGCTGCACACTCATTATCAAGCGAGGTTTTGGGCTGCAAGTGGACCCTGCCTTTTTGAGACATCCCCTCCACCTCATTCTCTCCTGCAGTTCCCTCGAGCTCTAGACATGGTTTATTGCTGCTGTAAGTGGGTTTAGTCTGCCTTCCCATTCTGATGAGCTCCAATGCCAAAGGAGAAGCAGGCAAACGTGTCTGCCATGCACAAGGTTACAGGGAACGTGACTGCAGTGCTAAGAGCAGAGCTTCAGCCACACAGCAAAGGAAACCGACAAGTAGGGACACAGCAATCGCTTCGGAGATTTGGGGAAGTGTGTCAGCAAGACTTCTGGAAGAATTGAGATGTTCCTTAAGGTAGGAAGAGGTATAAGCAGAGAAGGGCTCTTTTCCAAGCATTGGCATCAATGAAATAGAAGAGGCTGAATCATCAGGATAAGGTGCATTCCCTGTAATGTTTGAGAAGAGCAGCTCCAGCAATAAGATGGGGAGAAAAGCCCCATATAGGGTGGAAGACAGTTGATATCCCACTTTAACAGTGATTTAGCAGTCCAAGCACTAACTCCAAGTCAGTCAGTATTAAACTTGTGTAAGAATGTGGTTTGGCTGGACAGCTGTACAGTCGATTCAGTGTGCAGCAGCCCTCAATCTAGCAAGAGGATGAGCAACTACAGTACCAGCAATCCTCCACCCCCTGTACACTCAGGGGGCTCTTTTCTACCATTTCTGGATCTGCTCTTATCACAGCAAGGAGTATTCGAGGCCTCATCCCTTCTATGTATGCCAAGGCAGACACCAGCAGCTGAGAACAAGACTGTCTTAATTTCTGCCCTAGCAGCAACAGTCCAGAAGAAGATTCTTATTTAGAAATCAGATTAAGTATTTTTGTATTGTCCAAGACAGAACAGTTCAGGAACTACTTCAGATCTTGTGACCCCTCTGCAGTCCAGACCTCTGGGGAGAGGCAGCCAATAGGTGAGAGCCCTATGAAGTTCTTAGACCACTCCCTTTATAAACTGCTTTAGACAGGAGTGAAGAACCACTCTCTAGTCTGGTCTCCGCTGCTTCAGCCATTACCACTTAAAGAGAAAATGCTTGACCTCTTGAAGGCCAATGAAAATCTGATGGTGCTGTGGACATACGTAAGAGGCTACAAGTTTCCTTAAGAAAGCAACACTGTTAAATGTCAAGAGCTTGGACAATACATGAGTCTCATGTCAGAATGTGAGGTGCTTTACAACAGTCAGTCAGTCTCTGCTTTCTGTGGTTCCTTTCATACCACAGTGACAAGATGGGCACAGCTCAAAATCAAGAACACACGGTCTCTAGCTTGACTTCTCAGCTTATTTATTTAGAGATTGATGCATTCTGAGCCTGTCTCGTACAAGGCATAGGGCACAGAGAGTTCCTGTCAATATATACACGCATACAAGAGCAGTACAAGCAGTTTGGCACTCTCAGAGCCAAGGGGGAATGCCCTTAAAGCAGCAGTCAAGCTGGTTATAGGAAAGTGTTAAAAAGCTATTTTACATGTTTGACTGGGAACATTTCCCAGAATGTGGACAGCAACCCTAAGCCACAGCAATCTTCTGTGCTACTCTGTGCACGTCTTCCTACGAGCCCCTACAAGGGAGCAGATCATGTTCTTCACTATCAAAGAACATAGTATTTATATTCTAGAAATACTGTACCTTTTAAACTAGCTCCAGAGGGACAGACTAGAAGCCAGATCCAGGAAAATAATCCTTAAGTCACAGTATATCGATTGTCTCTAAAAATAGGGAATGAAGTGAACACAGTGGACATTCTGATGAGACAGTACAGAACAGTGCAGCAGTCCACTTCTGCATCAGCAGATCCCCTCCTATGTACATGAGGACAATGAGAAAGAAATGGAAATGCTCCAGTCCATCAATCATCAGGAGATCTCCACAGCTCACCATGTGCCTAGTTTCCCTGTTCTTAATCAGTATCCTCCAAGGAGAACTCTTCCCCCTAAAAAGACTTGAGATCATCTTGCAGTTAAGAGTAGTAAGGAAAGTGCACAATCTAGAATTTTAAGGTAACATGGAATTTTGTTTCCCCAGAAAGCTCAGCTGAAGTTCCTGTCAATGTGTAGTGTTAAGAGCTGACTCTCAAGGCTGCCCAGTAAAACAACTGGTACAGTGTGTATCTGGCAGATTGTTTAATATCCACTGTATTTCTGATGGAGGCAGCCAAGGCAGCAGGCTTTCCAACTCTGCTCTGATGATGGGACAAACTGCCCAAAAGAAAGGGAAAGCCACTCTCTGCATGCCTGTTGGGCACACCCTGTGCAGCAGGCACATGCAACTGCTTGGAATAGTGGAGCCTGCCCCATCCATGTCTTCAAAGACTTAAAACAGGACCAAAGATGGACATGCCAGTCACTATGACATGGTGAAAGGATTAGAGGTTTCTGACAGCTGAAGCAGTACTGGTGATCCCCAGAGCCACCCTGCAACGGGGCAACTGCTGGCTCCCAGCAGACAAACTGAGGTCACAGTACTTGCTGCCAGCAGTGCACCCACCCTAAGCACCATCTTCCCAGCTCACCCACTGGGGTCTGGGCAGTGATCCCAGGCTGCCTTCCTCTGGCCTAGTTCTGAGGGCAGACACTGAGCTAAGAGTCTAAAACAAAACAACAGTGCATTGCTACTTCACCTCTGCACACACCTACTTGAGCACAGAGCCCTGTAGAGGGAACAAACTGCTCATATTGACACCAACTCAAGCACTCCTGCTTTCTCAGGAACACCAACATCAATGTGAAGCATCAGGGGCTTGGGAAGTCTCTCTAAGCTGCACACCTCAACACTGCTCACAAGCACAAAGACAGGGAACACTGGCTACTCTCATCAATTTACACTCTTGCACAACCAACAGAGAGGGCAGACCTTCCTTCTCAATACAAATAGGTGCTGGACAACAGAGGCTTCAGGAAAGTTGCTTGCCTGTACACAAGTTTAAGTTCTTTTACTTAATATATATCTAAGTATTTATCTGTGTATTTTGGAACAGGGAAGGGACATGAGGTGGAGAAGCAGGGAAGACAAGTTCAAGAAGCAGAGTAATTTCTCTGCATCCAAGAAGCTGGTGGCACAAGTAACAAGCCTGGCAAGTGATCTCCCATTTCAAGCACAGTTGGCTACCTGCTGGCTTCAAAAGAACAGACTATTTGTTAATGATATAAAATACAGCAACCATTTCAGATGCAGCAAGGCAAGGCTACAGGGCTGGGGATTATGATCATGAACAATGCCAAAAGCTACACAGCTGTGTTAAAAACTGTGAAAAGGCTGTTAAACAGCAGGAGTAAGCCATATGCTGCTCCTGGAAGGTCTTTTCTCTCCACTACCCCTCCATCATGCTGTTGTTGTGATGCATTTGAAAAGGTGGAAAGAGGGGGATTTGCCTAGGGGTAAAGCCACAGAGCATTAGGACAGTCTGATCTGGTCTCACAGATCCCATGTTCCTAGCCTGGCACTGAGCTTCCATCAGCAAGCAGACATTCAGGTCCTTCAACAGAAGTGTATGCCCTTCTACCTTCATAAGTTGTAGGGGTGAAAGAAATCCAGCAGAGTTGAGCTGGAAAGCATGAACAGGGATGAAAACAACCAGTTTGCATACTGATCCTTGTATAATGACCCCCCCACCCTCACAGCTCACTCTTCCCCAAATAAAGACACATTGTTCAATGGCATGTTGAAAAGACGTGCTCGTCATTCTTAATAAACAACTAGAGTAAGAATACATAAGAGAAACAGGGTGGTATCTTTATATGATACACAAGTGTATGTTACAAGAATTCCATCAGGCACAGAAGCCTCAAGCTTTAAGGCCTCAATGTTAGGCCAAAAAAGAAGAGTGTGGTAAAGTTTGTACTTTTAACATCTAAAAATGTCACTTAAAGGTCTGAATAGAAATTGTTGGTTTGGTTTTTTTTTTTTGTATAAATCATAATTGCAGTTCACTCTCTCCTCTTTCTTCCAAGATAACAGCAAATTAACGTCCAAGCACAAGAAAAGAAGATGCCTGCCTCTCCTCCACTGGCTGAGCAGGTCCATCCATCATTCTGTGCCCTCTAGGCTGCACGTGCTCCAAGGAGACAGAGGCCCCAGCCAACCAGGCCAATCCTGTAGTTCATGTTTTCTACATCATAAAAAAAAAACCCAGAGTCAACCAGCAGCTTTCCACAGCTCCCAGCTCGCAGGGGATATGCAGCCTCCAATGGTTCCAACAGTTTGGTGTGTTGGGTAGGATACACAATGGGTAGGTTTTCCTTTAGATTCTTTTAAAGAGAAGAAGCCTAAAAGGGCTTCATAACTACACCAATAAAAAACCAAAAACTTAGGCATCTCCTTTAGTGTAAAAGTCTGTACAATTTCTCTTTGCTTGTCCCTCCCCCATCACCCTGCCCACCCCATCTGAGCCACGAAGGATGCCTTAGTGCATGGTGCTGGCATTAGCCACCGCAAGAGCTTCCTGAATCTCTCGGATGACCAGGATCCGGGTGAGCATCTGCTCCATCTGCTCTCTGCTGATCGGCTGGATGGAATACCAGATAGGGCTGTTGGGGGCCACCACTGGCTCCGGTGTCAAGTAAAATGTGTCATTCCGGCCTTTCACACTCTGGGGGCTGTGTGAGGAAGATCAGAAATAACCAGACTAACAAAATGTCCTGGAAGAGAGACACCACCACTGTCCTCACCCCAGGCTTCACAAATCCTGACAGTGATATCTGGCTGATAACACATGGAAGGTACAGAGATACATCTAGGGGCAACATTCATTCCAAAGTTTTAGGACATGCCAAGGTTAAAAACCCATGGTGAGGACTACAGCAAAGTAGTTTTTATTTCACACTGGTAACCATAACACACACATGGCTTTAGGGGTCCTTCAGAGTGAAGAAAGGATGGAGTATTTTCACATTCAGGCTACCTGCAGATCCATCTGTGTAGATGAACCATTATATTAAATTACAGAATCATCATAATTTAGAGACGAGTCCTCTGAGGCACCCTCCAATCTCCATAGCAAGTCCTTATTTTTTTTCAGAAGCTGGTCTGAATAGGACTCTAATCCTACCTTCAGTAGTGGATGCTTCCAGATGACTTGCAAATCACAAGCAGAAGAACAAGTTCATGTCAACACAGTAAATGTCCAAGATTAAGAGCAGCCAGTTCACAAATCAGGATTTGTCTCTTAAATACCCCAAAAATTCAATTTACATGCCATCAGAGTTAATCCCACTCTCTCACATAGGCACCCCTTCTCCATTTAAGTAAATTTATGGAAATAGAGAAATTGTGTCAGTGCTATCACACAGCACTGAAAACTAGGCCAGGCACAGGGTGCAGCTCCCCAGTCACAGCAGACAAGCACCACACACACAGATGAGAGCTCTCACCATTTGAAGAGGTAGAAGTCATAGAGCTTTATCGGACACCTCAGGGGGTTCTCTGGATTCTCGGTCTGCTCTGCATACATGTCATCTGTAACTACAAACCAGCCCCCCAGAAGTCTGTCAGACACTCTGTATAAGCACAGCACACCAAGCAGTACCTTAGAGCCTCTGCACTGCAGCACCTTGTCACTGTACAAGAGCTGGCAAGAGACATATGGCTGTTCCAGGGCAGAGGCACCTGGCTATAAATGCTTAGAGCATTAAGCACAGCTTGCTGTATCCTCAGGCTATTGAAGATCACAACCCATCCATATCCTTCTTTCCATTTGTCCTCTACCAGTGTGCAAAATAAGGGAAATCTCACTACTGAGACTGCAAAGCCTCAGTTGCATCCTGTGCTTTTAAGAGGATAGATTGTACTTACATAGGAATTCTTATGAGTTCACATGAATCAAGGTAAGAGAAGCCCTCCCAAAGAATTTTCTCCATCTCTTCATAAGCATTTACACCCAATAGTCTCTTTGCCCATAAAAACAAACAAACAAACAAACAAAAGTAACAAAAAAATTATCCTTAGTTCCTGATGAGACCCACATGCCTCAGGTAAGGTATGTCCCCAGGGCTATGATTAGAAGGTACTATCCTCTCTTGGAGAGGATGCATGGAGAACACAGACTGCCAGGCTACAGGTAACTGGCAGAGCCTTGGATTCCCTACCTGAAAACATCTCCAGCTTCATCCACTTCTTCAAGCCCAAGTAAGTAAAACACTAGCAAATAAACCCCCTAGACACTACCTTTCTGTCCTGTCTGGTGCATGCCTGGAGCCTTCATGTAGCGGATACTCGTGCTTTTATCCTTGGGATTAGACGGGTTCTTCTTGGTCTGCCTCAGCACCTTGGAGAAGGCCAGCTTCATGTGCTGGTCTACTGTTTTCAACAGGAAGTATCTGAGCAGCAAGAACACAGCACAGGACATTCAGAGGCAAGCAAGGGACATAGTCACAACAGCAAGGTAGTCATCTTTAGTCATCATGAGCAGGCTGAAGCTCAAATCAACCACTGGGTTAAGGACTCTACCAGCAGCAAAGCATAAAAAAACCACAGGTTCAGTCTGCCCTCTGCTAGCTCACTTCCTTGTTATACTGCATCTTCTTTGTCTGATGAAGCTACAAGTGGGCTCTGTGTGCAACCATTTGAAACTCATGGTTTTGCTCTATGCAGTGCAGCAGTTTCACAACAATCCAATTAAGGTCTCTGAACTTCTTTTATTCCCCAAGATTCCCTAAGACCTGAGTACTTACTTTGTATTAAAAAACATCAGTGTAGTGAGCAAGGTGGAAGGGGAGTGAGCTCCAAGCTGCTTACACTCCCACAGCATCTCTTCTGTTACATGACTGGAGAGGATGTAACCTGCAATAATCAGAAGTCAGCATCATGCCAGGGGACAGACACAACATGAGCACAGGCAGCATTTTACAGTCTGTAAGTACTGGAGAGCATATAAATCTTAACAGAAGGAGAAAGAGGAGATTCTCACTAATGTCAAGATTCAGTGCTCTGCAAATAACTTTTTAAAGAGCAGGTACAGTCAGGAAACACTTGTACATATCCATCAACCTCTAATTGTGGAGAGTATGCTTGTGCAACATGCCTATACATCCCAGCCCATAGAGGAAAGAATATGCACTTAAACAGCTTTTAATTATTGGCTTGACTCCAGTGCAGATGCTCTTAATCCAATAATATGTGAGAGCAGGCAGGCCACTGTAACAAATCAGTTCTTGGCCCTGTGCACAGCTTCAGGGAGCACACAGTGCCAAGTGATGTATTTGGACACATGAGTAATCCTTTGATTCTCAGATTTTTTTTCCCCTTTGCGTAGAAGAAAAATACTACACTCTAAATACACAGATAAACAGAAAAACAGACAGCAGTATGAACTCTGGGGCTTGTGGAATGTCAAAGCACTGATCAAACAGCCAGACTGTTTGACTGAGGATTCACAAAACAAAAGGATTCCAAAACTCATGGTGCCACTTAGCCCCTAGCCTGTAACATCAGCTACTTCACTGAATTACTGAACATAAGAATAACTTCTTCACTCATGTCCAAACATATCAAAGGGAATGAAGCCATGAGAAACCAGGTTTCCATGTTCTGAAAATGCAATTTTTATCTAGTTCTCATACAGTTCTCTGTCAAAATTCGTCTCTTCTGGAACTGCTTCCCCCATCCCTGTTGCCATCATCTCCTAAACATAAGGTTGAGCTACAACTGACTGCAGCACTGGAGGCTTGATTCACTCATTGGTTTTTTCCTTTGACATTCAGTTGCTTCTGCAGACAGAATCCATCTGGCTACATGGCACTATGACAGTGCTGTATTATCTCCCAAAGAAACAATACATATTAAAGGCAGGATGTATTACCACTTCAGATTAGGAAACCTGATTCAAATCAAGGATCAGCTGGCTGCCAAGTAAGCCAATCTCATGACACTACAAAGTCCCCACAATGTGCCTTCTGATTGGTGACAAGTGACAGACAAATAATGCTCAATGACAGTCAGGGCTAGAGCCTGACACCTGCAGTAGCCCCAGCATTCACTGCAAACATAACATTTTTCTCCCTGACCAGCATTAGCTAGCCTAGGGATGTTACATACTTTAAAAGGGTTTCTATTCAGACTACACTGCTGCTGCAGGTTCAGTTTAAACATTCCAAACTCTGGAAAGTTTTAAAGTTCTTAAACAATAGCCCTTACCAAGAGGTGAAACACGGGGCTGTATGTCCTTAAGAACTTCATGCAGCCATTCAGTGAACCGAATATAGTAGAGATCTGAGAAGATGTCATCCACTCGGCCATTTTCAAAGAGATACTGCAAGAGATGCACAACACAGGCCAGTACAGTGGGAGCAAGTGTGTTCCTCAGACCAGACATCATCCTAAGGGCCCACATCCTCAGCTGAGCATTTTACAGCACAGCACTGAATACCATTTACTTAAAGAGTGAGTACTCTCACACCAAGGCGAATACAGGGTAGCTAATCTCCATTACTACCATGGCAATGCCAAGACAGAAAAAGGAAAAACTACCTTAAAAAGTAAAGCTGAATGGATTTCACCTTTGATTTCAGGTGTGCTCACTTCTAGTTATTTCACATGACTAGTGGACACTACTTTTTCAGGTTAACAACAAGGATGCTCAATTTCCCTGTCCAAGTATAGCTCTGTTCCTGCAGTGCTTCCAGGAAGCTCATACTTCCCATAGCACCTAAAGCTAAGTTCTTGCCTGTTAAAGCTTCAACTAAATTTAAGTCTTGACATTGACAACTTCTTTAAACATCATCCAAGTCTCCTCTCAATGAAAAAAGCTAAATGGATTTATTATTTTTACTGTGATACTGAACCCAGTTATTCATAAAGTTAACCCATAGACTAAAGCATTGCTTGCACTAAGGACAGACAAGTCATCTGATGTTTTCAAAGTTTTTTAAGCAAAAAGACTTTTCCTTATAAAATTGTTGGTAAGCTTAATAGAAGCCACAGTCTCTATTTTTATAACCAGGAATCCCCCTACACATGCTGACAACAGGGACAGTTCTGCAGCACATAGAGCTGTCCCATCCTACCTTCTGAATACACAGGAAGATATAGTAGAGCACATCTGGATCATAGGGTTCACCATCACCATTCCGAGCTTCTCGTGTCATTAAGCACAGACCATAATTCAGCTCAGCCACAGCTGAAGAGATGAGATCTTCCTGGAACCTCAGCAGCTGACGCCCTGGAAAAACAAAACAAAGCTTATTATTTAAGTCATAAAGCCATATTATTTCAGGAAAGATTTCCCACATCTCCATTCTATCTGGCAGGTCCAGCACTACCTCATTCTCCCAGTACACTAAAGCAAGTTGAAATAAATCCAGATCTTAGGCTGTCAGAAATACTAAAAGATAAAACAGGCAAGAGTTTGATAGGAAGATGCTCTGCCCTACCAAATGCATGACTATTGCCTTCTTTCACCATGTCCCCAGTGAAATGCTGCCCTGCAGCAACAGGAAAACAGCAACTCCATGACTGTTCTACCAGCTTGGACAGACAGTTTGTCCATGCACCACAGCCATGCAGTGTCCTTTTCTACTGCTATCAGCCCAGGTGCTCAAGGGGGCTCAGCAGAGTTAATACATGTCCTGTGGCAGTGGGAATACACAATAATTAGTGCTGCAGAGTAAATTAATATTTAAATTTAGGAACAATCACTGATTAAACAAAAGGCTTTTCCAGAGCAGTACACATGTAACATTTTAGTCATTCCTGATCCTACTTGAAAGGAAACAATGGGCATATTTTCAATGACACCTACTTCCAATAGGTGCTAGTCTATTTTGGGCTTCTTTTTCCAGCTCTGCATTCTTGGTCTGTGCCCAGCTTTTCCACACTTCAAGACCTTCTTCTGGCTTCAGAGAGTTTGGAAGTAGAAGTTCAGGTGAAGTCTGTGGCTGCGGCTGTGGTTCAACTTCAGCAACCTGAACAGTTTGAGCCTGTGAAAGAAAACCCTTCAGTTTATATACACACTTCAACATGCAACAGCTGGACAACACCCAAGAATCCCACAATACCTGTAGCCCCAGGATATCAACCTTCTGAAACACTCCCAACAAGAAATTAATCCAAGGAATGCAACTTTTGCTGTCCAACCTGAATTGCTGCTCACAAAAGAATATTCAACACTCCAAAAACTCTTTCAGTTTGAATGGACAGATCTATCTTCAGTTCACTTGTCACTCTGAATCACCACTGAAGTGCATCTCACTACAAGAGCAGCCCACAGAGACCACCAGCCCCTGAACAGGAAGGTGCCACCAGCTTTATTCACTGCTGCTCGACACCCTAGACTGCCCTAAGGAAGGTCCTGGGTGCAATCACATGCCATACACCACTGGCATCCCTCCCTATCCAGAATCTATTCTTCAAGTAGTACATAACAGGCACACAGAATAAAGACGTTCTGTTCTTAGCATAAGTGATAAATAAGATTAATTCACTTGTAAAAGGTATAAAGCAGTAAGACTAGAACACAGCATCAAAACATCAATTCAATTTCAATGCAATGCTCTCAAAATACCAAATATTAATAATGGGAAGTAGCTACTATTGTGTGAAGAGTGACTGCATTACTTATTATAGACCTAAGGCATCTCCAGACCCTTTGGAAATTTACTTTGCAATGGGACCTTAGGTCACCAAGAATTTCAATCTCAAACTGAAACTTATTGTCAGGCAACAAATAGCACCAATCTAAAACCTACAGCAAGCCCTTCAGCTGCACTCACTCTGCATTCTTTGCTACAGGTTTTCAATTCTATGCCAGAGCCTCATAGCTATCTCAATTAACAGCTTTACAGACCTTAGTCAAACTCTCACTGGTACCCTGAATGTTACAGAAATAGCAATTCTTGTACCAAAACAGTTTTGCTTTTTCCTTCCTAAGAGCTACTCCAAAAAGCAGCTTTTCCTTTGATACTGCTAAGTGCCAATATTAGTGGAAGTTGCTCTGACAGTACTAGAGATCGTGGCATAGGAAAACAGCACAGAGACTTTAAATACCTGTACCTTACTTAGTATAAAAAACCAAAGGCTTAAGAGCCAAAGTCTGCAAGAGCTCAGACTGGAGCCTTCCAACCCCCTCTGGCTGGCTTTTTATTCTCTGCATCAGCTTTTATTAGCTTTTTGCTTATTAGCCCCTGCAGCTTCAGCATCTAACAGAGACTGACTGAAAAGGCCCAGCTTTAATCAAGGCAGATGGAGACTAAGTTGTGGAGCAAAGCCTCTCTGCCTTCACAAGTCCAAGGGTGAACTGACACCTTGTCTTTGTAGGAGCCAGGACTGAGCCTCTGCTCTCCTCCAGAGTGCTGCCACATTACTCTCCAGAGAGCTGAAAGCTTTCCAGAGCCAACTCCCTCCATCAGCCCAATCCAAGGGACAGTCTTCTGCCCTAACCTCACAGACACCTTTGTCCAGTGTGAAGGCTGGACACAGGCTGATGTGAATCTACTGAACTGGCAGATGCTTCTTAACAAACTTGTATTTTTCACAAATAGAGAAAAATTGCTGCAACTTGCCCAGATCCCCTAGAAGCACAATGCCAGAGGACAGCACAGGGCAGGCAGGCAAATTATTTCTCAGTTTCACAGTTTTGAGAGGGTCAACTCCCAAAAGCATGATGTTCACCTGTAGTAGCTTTACTGCCCCCCCTAGAGAGAGAGTACATTCCTCCTAGAACTGTCTATGTATTTAGGGTATTTTATTTTAAATACCTTACGTACCCTAAAGTACACTTGATCCAGGAGTTTGCTCATAACTTCCGTTTACCCGGCACGGGAACTGCTGTGGACTCCCATGTGCAACATAACACAAAGTAACTGATCATGACTAGTACATATTAGCACACCTTATTTGGCTGCAATTATCCCTGCCTGACCACTGCAACCCCTGGAACAGCTCAGGAAAATACTGCAGATCTCAGAATACCCACTATGAAGAGTCTGGCAATCAGTATGTATCTATTAATTTTTAACACTAAGATCAAGACTGTACTTTCTTTTGGAGTGTTTTGAATCCTACAACTATGTACCAACATTATCACATGAAAGTCTTATACCCATCAGGAGCCAAGTGCCTTGTGTCACATTCAGGCTTCTGGGACAGATGCATCTCTGCTTCCCAGACACCAGCTGTCTGCTGGCATGCTCCCTCTCCAAAACATTTGTAAGTTGTTAATCACCAACTGAGACCAAAAGGCAGTTTTAACTTACTGAGCAAGTGACTTGTAGCTGCTGCTGCTGCCCCTGCTCTTGGGGTGTGGGCTGCTGCTGCTGCTGCTGTGGGTCCCATATGTGCACCGTCTGTGCTGTATTCTGGTATGTCCCTGCCACAGCCTGCACTGCCACTGGAATGTGGATGTTGCCATTCATAAACTGTGCTGGAAAGATCGAATTAGCAAGAGTCTGCACCACTTCCTCATGAGAGTTCTTCACTACTGAAGTACTTCCCACCATCTTATCCTTGTCATCTTCCAGCTTCACTGTAGCCAGTGTTGTGGGCGAGCCACTGACGTGGACGGCATTGTAGGCCTCCTGAGGGATGGCAATGTGGGTTATGTTTTGCTGCTGAAGGTCACCACGCGGCTGAGCGGAGTAAACAGGGATGGTCCACGTCTCTCCAGTGGGGCTAGTAATGGTCCCAGTGGCACTGTACAGGTGGGCACTGTCCACTGTTAACAAGTCTGGCCGTAAAGAGACATAACTTTGCTGCTGGCCCTGAGGAATGGCCAGCACTGTGGCAACTGGCTGCCCTGAAATAGCATATGATACAGTAATAGGCATATCCACTTTACGTTTCTTCACTGGCTGAAGGACGCTCGCAGAGCTGATCCGCCTCTCTCCCTCCCGTGGGGAGCCTTGCTGAGAAGGTGGGGGTGACAGTGCCCCGACTGTCTGGATCTGGATCTGCTGGCCACCAGTAATGGCCTGTCCTGCCACAAGCTGGGCCTGGATCTGCTGGTGTTGTATGTGCTCCTCCTGTAGCTCTGCAGCCTGGATCTGTTGGGCAGTCTGCACATGCTGCACTTGGATCTGAGCTGCCTGCAGCTGCGAGGGGCTGGGGCTCTGAAGAGACTGACTCTGTATTGTCTGGGATGCCTGCTGCTGTGCCTGGCCTTGGATCTGCACTTGGACCTGTATTGGCTGCTCCGAAGCCTGATGGACAGAGAGCTGTGGAGAGAGCTGCTGGGCGGAGACCTGCTGTGGTGACTGCTGGACCTGGACCTGAACCTGCAACGACACCAAGCCACCAGTGAGACATCAGCAAACACCAGTGATTCAGCAGAGATGGTCTGTCACCCAAGATCTATGCCCCAGGTCTCTTATGCCCACTTTTGAGTCCATGCATTAATCCATTAGTAAAGATTTCAGGAAAATGAAACCAAGTTATTCTAGAATAAGTGCCTGGTTGACAACAGTGATGCAGTAGATGTGTTTGCTCAGCATTGCACATGACTCTCAGCACAGAGAACAGCATGTGAGCTACATCTCCACCCTCCCAGATCTATGGGCTCAAGCCAACAGATTCCATCCTTGGAATCCAAGAGTCTTCAAAACTATTTGCATTGCTAAAATGTTACTTTAGCACAGGTCTTGCAATACCAAGACTTAAAAGTCATTCACGTTACAATCACAGGAGCTTGTCTCATTCTTACCATGCTCTAAAGATTGTTCTACTGCTGCCCACCCCAGTCCCAAGATGGCCACAGGATCACTTGCTGGTGACAGGCAATAAGAAATATGGGTAAGTCGAAACCAGCACTTGGCTCTTTCCTCATAAAGCACAGGAATATTACTTTGAAACCTATCATTAATAGTAACACTACTCAAGCAGGTGCCAACACAGAATGTGGCAAGTTCAACCTCAATCTCTGTCATGCATTACTGGCCTATGCTGCAGCATGTTTTGTAAACTCTAAAAGAATTTCTTTGGCAATGATAATTAAAACCAATCTTTTTTTCATTATTTATTTTTCCATTTAATACCATTTATTGTCCAAACTACTCAGTTGTATTTTTTAGCTCACACACTTAGACAATGCTGAATAACACAGACAAATCTGTTGACTTGATTCCCAACCAGTTCCTTTTATTTTAGAGGAAAAAAAAATCACACCCTCTCACATTAATGCTCATTTGTCCAAGGTCTGCCACAATACCTAGCAGCAGTGCAGCAGCACACTGAAAGCCAGCAGCCAAAAGTAGCCCCCAGAATAAATTTCAGATCACAATAGCTTCACATCCTTTGTCCAGACACTTCTCCACTTTTCCTCACATTGACACAGACAACTTGTTACATTTGCCTTGTCCTAAAAGCAATATTCCAGGTACTCATCACCATCTGTTTCTCTAGGCCTCATTAACACTTTATCTTAAGGGAGGCAATTAATTACTCAACACCTCTTTCTGAAGCCAACAAGGACTTATTTTAGTTGCACGACTAAATGTCTTCCTACTCACAGTTCTCTCACCTTTTTCTACCTCTCTTCCTGGATTCAGGCAGACTAATGCAGCATTTGCACAGAGACAGCACACTAGTCAGTCAGCCTGACAATACCAAAAAGAACCACAATGCAGGCCTGCTGTGCACAAAATCTCACTTCCCATCATCACTGCTAAGAAGTCTTGAAAAATGTTAAGGACCCATTTACAGCTAATTAAGAGTTGCTAAGGAAAAAACTGGGGTAGCAAAATGCCCCACTGGCAGGCCAGATTTAAAAATCACCTCCTGTTAAGAATTAATTCATTTCCAGGAAGAATAGGGTATAGTTCCTTCTGGGAACTCTGTGCACTGTACTGCAATCCAGATGACGTGGTGACTCTATAATAATTTCCTACAAGGTAACAAGAGGCATGTGACCTTATGTCAGCATGAAAGTTTAAAAAGCTCCATCAATGAGTGATTTGATCAGGCACTCAGTTGAAAAAGATGAACCCACCTATGGGATGTTTCCTCAGTTCTATTTGATATTGTTCTGCCCTGGAGCATGAATACTGCCTTGGGCAAACAGGCCCAAACATGGATACCAGGTAAGGGCTCAGTTTAAGAAAGCCAGTTGTAATCATACCCCTAAGGCAAGAATTCTCCAAAATACTTAACTTTAAAAATCACTAATATGGTCTTTACTATTAATTTAAATCCTTGTTCAGAAGATTACCTGCAAAGCAAAGCCAAAGACTGAACAAATTACACATTTTATTGCACTGATATTTTCAGTCTCACACAAGAAATGTTTGCTTTATCTGCTATGATTCAAAATGATGTTAAAAGGTAAATGTGTCATTTGTCCTGTACTTCTGTAGTGTTTTCACAATTCACACAGGTTGACTGAGAGCACCTTAAAAGCACCCCCTCCTTTTATCCATACAAAATTTCACATTACACTTCCTGTGAGTGCTGTAACATACATAAAGGAAAGACCTTTTTTTTTTTCTTTTGCTACTAGTAAGAATTCAAAGTCTCCTTCTGTGCTGAAACAATTTTATCACATAAGCACAATTAGAAAGGTAATGGAACTGGTTTAAGAAAGAGGCATTGTCAGCAAGAGGAGCAGCCTAAAAACAAATGGAACAAGACAGCATTTGCTCCCCTCTGCTCTTGTAAACAGACTGTTTCAGTTTGAGGGGACCTCCACTGATCGAGTCCAATTACCACTTCAGGACTGACCATAATCTCCAGCATGTCATTACAGCACTGCCTAAATGCCTCTTAAATAATGACAGGCTTGGGGCACCAACCACCTCTCGGAAGCCTGTTCCAGTGTTTGGCCACTCTCTTGGTAAAGAAATGCTTCCTAATGTCCACTCCAGACTTCCCTTGGCACAGCTTTGAGCCATTAACCATTTCAGAGCCTGAGCATACAGTGTTTCAAAGTCAGCAGCAACTTCCACCACTTTGAACAGATGAGCAGTCATACCCTGAGGCCTTGCAAACCCCCCTAGGACTAAATCCTAACTCCTACAAGAGGGATGTCTTGCCACTGCTTCAGAGTCCACCCTGCTATTGTTAACACCCAAAGAACGAGTCCAGACCCAAACAACATGAAGTCAAACTCCAGAATCACTGGAAGCTCTCCATGTTCCAAACTGCAGACATCATGCTTCTGACTAGAGAGTGGTCCTATTTAAAAAGATATTGGAACTCTACCTACCACACATTATGCTTCCCCTGTGAATTACACATCCATTTTTCACAACTGTATCTTGGAGCAGATCCCTCCTTATTTTCAAGTAGGTTGTATCCAGGAGTGCTACAAGCATCCATTCCAGATTTACAGATTTTAACCCGGTCTGAGACCAGAGGCTTCTTATATTGACCTCATTGCCCTTCTTTTCCTCAAGTGAAACAAAGAATTACATGCAGCAGCAACAGCCTTTATAAAAGACTCTGTACAAAGGGGAATGTTTAAAATTTTTTAATTTACAGGCCAAGACCAACAAAGGCCTTTAAGTCTTCATTTTATGTTGAAGATTAAAGCAAAAACATGTTATGCTGGCAATTCCTGGGTTACTGGTGCAAGAAAGGAACATACCAAGTTACCAGCACTGAAACATTATTTATTGCCAAAAAGTCTGGATCCAACAGCATGAAAGAATCACCTCCCAGCAGGCTACCATGACACAGAGAAATGCCTTTGCACCATAAAGTAGCTGGAAGCTGGATCAAGTACTAGCTGCCTAGAAAACCAAAAACATTAGAAATCAACCCTGTATCGTAACAAGGGCAGAACTAAATTCCCTTAAAGGAATTCTGTCACATCAAGCCCAAAACCATATTCTGTGCTGAACTGAACAAATGCAAAGAGTAAATAAGTAACCCCAGGACCACGAGCACATCTGAAGCCTGGTTGCCAAAACATTTTTTCCTAACGGTTGATAGACAAACTTGCAAGTAGGAGTCATAATATGTCTGCCCTGTGTGGATTCTCTGCCCAAAAAGGAATCAAACTCAGTTGTTTCAGAACAGCAGTTCTGAAGCAACTGAGATTTTCTTTGCTTGTGAATTCTTTCATCTGCAGACTGACTGGATTATCTAGTATTTCCTAAAATCTAACTCTAAATGAGCACACAGAGCAACTCTTTCCCGCATGGATTTTTTGATATGTAGCTTTTCCTAGAGCACCTGACAGGCTCTTAAATGCATCTTTTCACAAAGAGATCTTGGTTTCTGAAGCTGTATTTAAACCAACAAGCAGTAGTACACACCAACAGCAGATCTCCAGAGCAAGACTGGAGATGTACTAACATGTCCACACTATACCTTCCAGAAGACTATTTAAAATTTAGTTCTAGTCTTGCCCACCAGCCAAGTCTGACATCACCAAAACACAAGACTGCATCTTACAGCTTAGTTTTATCTGGAGGGAACCCCAAGTGACAAGCTCCAAACCTACAAGAGGTAAGAAGGTTTGGCAGGTGGACAACTTGCGGCGGGAAGTATGCTCCAAATGCCCCCAGAAGTAATGTGGGGTTCATCTCAAACTTCCCACACAAAGTGAAATATTTGGGCAAAAAGTTGGTGAGAGCATGAGAAGAGTAATCTCAGGTTTTTTTAGCCCAATTTAAGGACAGAAGACTTAAAAGACAGTTCCCTCAACAAAAGTCCTAAGCTAAAGAAAGTCCAGCAATAAAACTAACACTGTAACAAAGAGTTCCTTCTAAAGTTATAACAGAAAGTGTACAAGCAAGTGCAAAACAGATATGAAAAGTGTAAGTGAAAAGACTGATCAGTGAAGTAGCAGGAAATATCAGAACTTGTTATTTAACTACTTTACAGGAAGTGCTTTGCTATCTAAGTAAACAAGGTCTACGGGAAGGGTGCGAGTCAGCTTTTCAGAACAACTGCCAGACTGGCTCTCACTCCAGGTTTTTCCTCTGCTCATTTATCAACATCAGAGAGAGAATTCCAACAGCTAAATTAGGCCTTGGGTGTGTTTAAACAGTTACAATATCAAGATTATGTTGTCAAGCTGTACACTGGGGAGGGATTTAGGTCTAAGACAGTTAAAACACATGAACCAAGGAGAAACAGCTTACCTCTCCAACAGGAGAGTACTTCCATATACAAACAGATGCTACCTCAAAAACACCACTCTTGACTATAACCATTCTTTGAATTGTTCCACTCAGTCCTAGCAAATGCTAATTAATACCTGCTGCTACACTAAAATCATACTGGCATGTTTTCCAAACATAAGCAAATAGGAACTCTACCTCCAAGCTAAACTTCAGAACCAGTACAGAGGCAAGAGGAAGGTGCATCCATCAGAAGCAAAGATGCATTCTGTGCAGAGCCAGAGATAAGACTTTTTTCTAAGCTATTTAAGGGCATCTCTCCCTGCCCTGTATCATTAACAATGTCCAGCCTTCTATAAAGGTCTGAAGTCACAGAATAGACTGAACAGTAAACACAAAAGGAACAGAGCAATTAGAAAGGCACAAGTATTACCTGAGAGCTATTTTACACAAACCATTCCCCATACACTTCTGTGACCTTGCTCACATGTAGCAACCTCCCCTCAAGCCCTGCCCAAGAAAATATTGCCACCTAGACCTCAGACTGTTCATAAGAAGCTGAAACTGAGGATTTTCTCCACACACAACATAAGCAAAGATACTTTCTGTCCTCTGATATTCTTTCAGTTAAAGTTTCTTGGTTAAGAGGCACGAGAGGTTTGCTGACCTCTGCAGAAGCACCATATTTGGGAAGCAAGTCAGCACTGAACACCTCACTGGCATCATCAATTCCAGGGCCTCTATGCACAGGACCAACAAACAACAATCTCACCAAAAGCAGAGCTGATAAAACTCTTATGTGACTGAAGTAAACCAGGGACTTTCCCTGCCACTCCCTGAGGCACAACAAGGTATGACAACTTGACACACTAAACTCCTTCTTAAGGTCACTTATGGCACCCCTGTGACACTGGGTGTGGAAGGAGCTGCAGGACACTTAACTGTAGCAATGACCACTGTACATAACCCAACAGTTGCATCCACTCATCCTATAAAATAAACATTTGGTAAGACTTTATTGAGCCTTTTAGGCAAGAAAGCCTTAAGGCAACATCTTGTTAAAAGAGAAAGTTTATTTTTCTAGAATAAATAAAAGCAGCAAGCAGTGACACTCTGTATTTAGCTGTTCACAGCAAGTAAAACCCAGGATGAAACCTGAGCACTATCTCCATGATTGTAAGATCATCAGCAGCACTTCCAACTGTGAGGTCATCTGACTGGTCATACTGTCAGTCACCCCCAGCAGCACTGTCACACTGCCAGACATAAGCACAGTCATTTAAAGGGTCTTCCACTGACTTGCAACTGGATTAGCAAGAACTAAACAGATTACCAATTCAAGCACCAGGATGACAAGTTTAATCAAAAGCTAAGAGGCTTCAGCAGATGACCAAAATTCATCATAATACAACACAAGCAGTATTTCAGCACAGGAGCCACCTGGACCAGGTGCACTGCTGTGGTGGAACAATGTCATTCCCCAGTGTCATAACAAAATCCAGCTTTATCCAGAAGATGAGCTCTGCCACTGCTGCCACAGTGACAGTGCAGAGATGAGTGAACCCTAAATCACGAGTTTAACATAAATTGTGTTCCAATAAGAAATCCTGAAAGACAGAAAAACTCTTGCAAAGGGGTAAAGACATTCTTCTCCACCCTATTCTCGCAGAAAAACTAAGATAATTCTGAGCTAGCTACTCAAATACACCCGAGTTCAGCTGCACTGCTGATACACAAAAGCTGCAGCCACATCTAGTACCAAATGTGCCACCTAAAGTGAGCAGCAGGGTAGGCAATACAAATAGTAATGATGATCTGTACAGATGGGAAAGCAGGTATCTAAAAGCAGAGGCACTTCTAAAACAAGGAGAGGAGACAGCATTCTTCAGGGAAGTTGCTGCAATCTTAACTTTCATGAGAAGCTTTTCATATACAGGGTGCAGGTCATTCAGTTCCAAAATCAGGAACCAGTCTCTGGCAGCAACTCTATGCTTATTTACAAGAAGGTCAGGTTATTTTTCTCTGGAGCATAAGATATATGACCTCCCTTCCTATCTCTGTTACTAAAAGATTTGCAAGGGTCAAGCCTGAACATTGGGTAGTTCTGAAACGAGGCAGCAAGAGTGAGAGGGGAAAAAAAAGATTCCTTTTGACTTTTACAGTTGGGGGCTTTACATATCTTCAAGGCTGAGGCACTCAAACCCCAACCCTCCTAGCTCTTCTGCTGCAAAAACAACTTCTTCCACAAAACATACTAGCTGGCAAAACCAAACCACTCTTGATCAGTTTTAATAGCCTCATGCAGAGAAGTCATGCCTCAAAGACTTCAGGTTTTTGTTCTTCAAAAGCCTTTCAACACAAGTCACTGTAGGGCAACAGGTTACAGAAGTCCCAGTTAAGCATTCATTTACTCAATAGAGAGTAACTGGAGACGAGTTAGCAGTGAAGGAGTTTTGTCTTTGCTGTAGGATAAAAACACACAAGTGAGCTGTTGACACAAGTCTATTGCACTGCAGCAAGTACACACTACCTGAGCTCCAGTCATTTGTGACTCCATACCCTCACTTATTGTAAAGGAAAAAAAAAAAGAGCTTGCAGCTTTACATTCTGCTACAGAAACCAGAAAGATTAATATCTCAAGTGTAGTGTATCAGAATTACAGCCACAGCCAGAGTTCAGCTGTTTAGAGACACATAATAGAAAAACTTTAGTAAATGCCCTGCCACCTATGAACTCTTCAAACTACAAAATCTGAGGACAAAAGCAGTTTCCTAAGTTATAAAATTGGTTTGTTTTTTTCCTCTGATACTGGATTTTCTTACTGAATACTTAATAAAATACCTAACATAATATCTACTTAAAAAGAAAAAAAAAATAAACTCCTTCCACTGTGCAAACATATAACCTACCTTGATACATATACATTCTTTAGAATTCCTTTCCAGAAACGTATCTTCCCCTGATTCATATCCTAAAGTTGACTCTCTTGCATTTCCCCGCACTTAAAAGTCAGTTCAAGAACAACTTTTAGAATGATCAAGTGAAACTATTTAAAGATTATTGATTTTATTAAGAAAAAAAATCCTTAAGGCAAGCTCCATCCCACAGCCACCCTGAACAAGCAGACAGTCAGAGGGGGATGGTATTTATAGCAGCTTCAGAGCACAAGGCTTCTGGAGTTGTGAACATGCCAGAACTGTGGACCGTTTCTCCAATAGGTGACACCACTCCATTGCTATGTATGCTCCTCCTACAGCAGGGCTCCAGGGAGGCACAGTCAAGAGAGCAAATTTACTACCAAATTCCTTAAATGAAAGGGAAATATTGCTGTTCTATAACGAACAATGAAGTTAATTGGCCCTGCCTCTTAAGTACCTGTCTGAGACTTACGGTTAGAGAGCAGCTCTGAACACTACTCCATCACTGGCAAGTCATATATACACTCAGAGATGATTTCAGATGCTTACCTGGACTTGCTGGGGTTGCTGAACCTGTATCTGCTGCTCTGGCTGAGTTTGCTGCTGGATACTGGTTGTCACAGGACAAGCAAGTTCAAGCAAAGACCCAGCCACCTCTGTGCTGTCCGTGTAAATGCAGTTGCCACCCTGCTGATACACCATTGTGGTGGTGGCTGTCTGCTGAAACTCCTGGAGAGCTTCTGGCCCCTTGGAAGCAAGGGAGTCTAGAAACTCCTTCATCCTGTGCTGGGGGATCGTTCGCGCCTTCACACGGATGTATTCTTCAAAGGAAATGGTGTTCTCCAGAGAATTATTCATATTGCAAGGTCCTCAGGGTTCCTTAAGGAAAGAGAAAGTAAAAGTCTTAACTACAGCACTCCCTTGATGAAGGATATTCTTAACTCCAGTAACTAATCTCTCATACCAAGTACTGTATGAAAACTGGCAAACATGCACAGCCAGATGCCCGGGACAGATGCTTTAGTTTTATGAGGCATTTTGTGCTACTACACATTTCTCAGATTAACCCTTGGCAGCTCAGGGGAGTCTGCACGATACCCAGGTGTGGCTCCTCCTCCCAGAGCTCCCTGACATGTAAACTCTCCTAGCTCTGTGCTTCACCCAGACCAGGCAAGTCCTGCACCAGACAAATCCAGTGGTACATTCCATTTGTTTGCAGCATGCACTGTTAGTGAGAGAGGCTCAGCAATCAATATGTGCGGCCCTGCTTCGCAGCCGCAGAGGTGGGAAACTGAGCAGGGTGTTCTATCAGGCCGTGCAGTTCTATTCTAGGCAGCTAATGGGAAGCACAACAGAAGAGCAACAGATGCAGCACTCAGCTCATTGCTGTTAGGACTAGGACAGCCTCATCGATTTGAGCATAGCAAGCAAAAGGAGAGCGCTGGAATCGAGACATTTCCTCAAACTGGGAACTACACACATTGAGAAACAGAGCTCTGGAAATGACAAAGGCAACTGCAGCATCAGTTCTTGATGTCAGTTTAACATAGGAAGAGGTTAACACGAAACATGCTATGTGTGAAGACAACAGAAGGCCAGAAAAAGAAGTTAGGATGATCAGGGCGGAAGTGAAAGCAAAGAAAAAACCACCACCACCACCTGAGAACGTCAGACAGCTCGAGGGTACACTCTGACAGCATTCTTCTCTTATTGACTTATCTTGTTTAAACCCACAAATTGTTTTTGCAGTCAGTATACTGGCTGTTTCTAATGCACTAATTAGCCTTGATAGAGCATAAATACATTTGAGCCATAACATCACCAGATAGCGAGACAGTTGTGAAAAGATGTGAAACACCACAAGAGCAGGACTAGAAGAGGTGATTCAGCACTACTAGATCAAGCTGCATAAAGGAGGAAAAACAGACAGACATCACTATGTACATTGTGACTGTAGGTCTAAAGAGAACAGGTACAAAACCAGAGCTTTATGCATCCTTTCACCATGATTTAACAAAGTAGAACTGAGACAGAGCAATGGTTGAACACAAGGCTGCAAAAGCCTGCCTGTGTGAAAATGGGAATTAACTCTAGGCTTTCATGGCACTCAAGCACACTGCACAAGTCCAGTGCCAGTTATCACCAAAACCTGGGAGAGCTGAAGCAAACACTAACCCCTCTTCACTGTTATGTGACAGCAGTCCAAACACAGTTTTTGTTTACATGGAGGTTCATGGCTAGTGCATTGGACCAGGCTCACAAGAGAAAAAAAACTAATATCAAAGGTAACAGGAACACACAGGAGGTAACTTGTGCTCTATCTATGGTTTCTGAAGGCTTTAAGATACATTTGTTACTGTATGAGATTTCTGTAGAAGATATTATTAAAATATGCAGCATGTTTAACAAAAAACACCAAATAATGGAGTTCACATAGCAAATCCAACAGCTCTGCAAATATCAGCATACAGAAGCTCCTGTAGAGCCCACATCTGGACAGAAAAAACATTCTGAGACAGCAATCTGACATTTTCAAGCCAGCTATGGGTGACAGAGCCAGTAAGACTATTCAGTTCTTCAGGAGCTACCCAAGAGTACTCTACCTCTACAGCACACATTATTAACCCCTTCCAGGATAACCCTATGCCCAGGGTGAACCTAGGGAGAACAACATTAATGCATCCACAGGGACTCAGGACTCAGACAAGACCTACAGCCGGGACACTGAAATGTGTTTTGCATCTAACTGCATGATGCTCTGTTATACTCTCTGAGGCTGGAAAACAGATTGTGAGCAATTAACTTGTCCCAGTCTTCTACTTGGAATGTTCAAGTATTTGACTTCAATACCACAGTGAGGCTTTCAGAAGAGAACCATCATTCTCCATGTCCGAGGTGCACTAGCAGATACAGCTTTGAGAGGGAAGACTCTTCTGAAGAACAAGCCCCAAGGATGCCATGCTGGGATCCCAGACACAAGTGCCACAGATGCTCTTTGACAGCCAGCTGCTGCTAAATTGGATGGGCTCACCTCTCCCAGGTGCTCCCTTCCTGCTCCTGCATTGGTTTTTAGCATGTTGTAACAACTCAGGGAATCCACCTTCTGTTAATCTTGTCAAAGGAGAAAGTAAGGAGGTCAGCAGCTCCACTGTTCCCAGTGGGAGCTGTTAGCCCTCACTTCTACTTTTGAAACTCCAATCCTTCTTTCACAAGCTACCTCATTCTCCTGTGTAAGAGACCAGAAGCCACAAGACACCCAGAAGCATAAGCAGCAGAGATCCACCACCAACAATCACCAACCTCTTCTGACCACCAAGCAAGCACTGATTTCTTAAATACAAATCCTTGACCCTGCTCAGCTGGTCCATTTCAATTAGTTCTTGTTAGCATCAAAATCAAGAGCCTACTAGGCCAGTCTTCCCCTACTAGTAAATCTTCTCTCTCTCACAAGATGTCAGAAGAAATCTCTTTCCTTTCTTTTACCATGAAAAAAATTCCTTTCTATTTTCCTGAAGTTACTCTACTAAGAGCCACTAAGCTGAGCCCCTGCAGCATTCCAAGTGCCAGGCATGGGCCAGAGCCCCACCATGCCTCCAGGCAGCTGTTCCTGCCCCAGAAGAGCAGCAGGAGCTTCCTTAGGTTTTCTCTAAGCTGCAGTTACAGACCCTGTAGGTAAAAGTGTCTCCCACATTCACATCAGTTTTAAGGGTGCTGGAGATTATTCAACCAGAAGCACTGAACCACCCAAAACTGCACTTCCCAAGACCCTGTGCAGCAGGGTCCAGACACCAGGACCAGGTACCAGGTCCAGAGAAAGATTCAGAAATGTAGTGCTGCATCCCCAGAGATTTTACTTATTAAAACTAAACCAGCCTGCATTTATGGCAGAAAACCTCTGTAAGGCTCTAGGGTGCATTCAACAGGATTTTGTAGGGTGACACACACAGCTTGCTGCTGCAGTCACTACTCTGAGTTATTAAAACACACTAATTTGTGCATTCCATTTATCCCACAGACACACACTGGAAACTGCAAACGTCCACCCTCACTGGATCTCAGCAGCATATTTTTAATATTGCATTTTAAAATTTAAAAAAGAGCATCCAGGCAATAAGTTTCTCCAATAAAGGAAGATAACTCCTCTCTCTGCAGCATAACTGCATTTTTTTCAAGAAGTAAGTTCAAGAAATTCTTTCAAGATTGTGAGCACATACGGTTAGTTGATAAAACTTAGACTGAGGTTACTGAAAACACACACACAACTTGCAGCATGTGGACAATCTGGACTCACCAGTCACCATGTTGCATGTATTTCTGCTGCTCTTGTCCTGAGCTCTTAGACTTGTAACGTTCTGGAGAAGACAGAACAAAGAAGCCCTTTCCATCCCCAGTTCCTCTTTTTTTATTAAGTCATTTTATTTTTAATATGTATTCCATTAAGAAAAAAAAAAAAATCAGGAAACAAAGATGATCATCCACGCAGCTAGCAGCTCCTACTGAGGAATTGCAAGATGCCCAATTTCTGTCTCAGCCTGGTGCTACTGAGAACGGCTGTGTGAGCACATCTGTCACAGAGCGCCGTGCGGCGACAGGCGCGGCACGGTGGGTGACACCGGAGTTACTGGCGCACAGAACTTAGAACAAGGCAGCAGCAGCAGTGATCGCATCCACAGGCAACCCCGCGCCCCTCCCGCCGCAGGTGCTCCCGGCGCTGCCCCGAGAGACAGCCGGGAACGCCGCGGACCGCCCGGCCACCGGCCGAGACGAGGCGAAGCTCCGTACTTAGGCCCTGAGGCCGCCGGCTGCAGCTCAGCCTCCGTCCCGCCCGAGCGGGGACGCGGAGCCCGCGGGGCTTCCCCGGCCCGCGGGGACCCGGCAGTGCCCCGGCCGCTCCCGCCGCCTTTGTCTGCCGGCGGGGCGGCCGGGCCGGGCCCGCGCCGCGCACTACCCCGGCCCGCCGGCCCGGCTGCGCTGCGGCGCGACCCGGCCCCGCCTCACCCCGGCCCTGTCGCCGCCGCTGCCTCGGCCCCGAGTCTTTTCCCCTCACAGCTCCCTGGGCGCCATCTTACATTCAACCCCCTGCAGCCAATCAGCGCGCTGCCCCAGCCTCGCGAGAGCGCGGCTCCCAAGCCCCGCGAGAGCTCAGCCCCTAGGCCCGCCCCGCGCCTTAAAGGGGCCTGGCCACGGCGGGGCGGGTGCGGCCGCTGGGGGGCGCCCTGGAGAGCGGCCCGCGGCACCGCGCCGGGTCGGCCTTAACGGGCCCGTGTGCTCGGCGCGGCTCCCCGGCCCCGGCCCCGCTTAAGGTGGCCCGTGCGGCTGGGCAGGGTCTCCCTGCGCTGGTTTCAGCTCCAGGGGCGCAGGCACGGCGCTCATGGCACGGGGGTCATGCCAGTTCCGCGGGGACACCCCTCTGCCCCCGGCCCGGGGCCGAGCAGGGGCCGCCCCACTCGAGACCACCTTAAGGGGGGAGGGCGCTGCGGCCGTGTTTGTACACAGTGAGCGCACCCTGCCTGCACCCCGTGTCCTCCCTGCACCCCCTGTGCCCTGCCTGCCCCCTCTGTGCCCTGCCTGCCCCCTCTGTGCCCTGCCTGCCCCCTCTGTGCCCTGCCTCCCTGCCTGCACCCTCTGTGCCCTGCCTGCACCCCCTGTGCCCTGCCTGCACCCCCCGTGCCCTGCCTGCACACCCACTGATCCTGCCTGCACCCCCCGTGCCCTGCCTGCACACCCACTGATCCTGCCTGCACCCCACCTGCACCCTCCGGAGACACCTCTCCATTCCACCCCAACACCCCTGACCCCAGTCCAGCCTCATGGTGCTGGCAGGGGCAGCTGCAGCTCCCGTGGGGTCACAGCAGTGCTACACAGGAGATAGGAGCAGATTCCGTGCCCCCAGAATGAGGGAGACACCCCACACACACCCTGCCAAGCCAAGGCTCATCAGGGGCACGAACAGGAGACCACCCCAGCAGCCCAGGACTGAGCAGAACAGGAGGCAGGGACAGTGCAGGGACAGGGCTGGGAACTCTGTTTATTGCGGGATCTCTGTTTATTGAGGCAGGGGTCTGCACCAAGGCACGGTGGCACTGGGGGTGTGCAAGGACCCCCAAAGAAGCAACAGCACGGTGGTGTGGCAGCAGCGGGGCCCTCAGGCCTTGCCAGGGTCCTCCTTGAGCGTCACTGTCCGGTTGAACACCAGCTGGGGAGAAACGCAGGGTCTGCTCAGAGCCCCACGGCGGGCAGGGGGTGCTTGCACAGGGGTGTGCAGGCTGCCCCACCGCCCCCACCCCACAGGGCTCACCTTCCCCTCCTCACTGTCGGGATCCACGGAGAAGTAGCCCAGGCGCTCAAACTGGAACTTGTCAAAGGGTCGAGCGGAGTGGACAGAGCTGTCCACCAGGGCATTGTGCACCACACGCAGGGAGTCCTGGCAGGGGGCACAGCTCAGCCAGCATCCCTACCTTCTGTCCTCTCCACAGCCCAGCTCCCCCCAGCTCCTCTTCCCCTTCAGACACAGTAAGGCCTTGCCCCAAGAGGGGGAGGGTGTACATGGAAGTGGGTGCCTCAAGACTGGGAGCAGGAGGTCCCCACTTCTCCCCAGGCCCATCAACTCAGCTGCTACCACTACTCACAGGGTTGAGGTCACTCAGAAAGCCACCGGGTACCTCCGATGGGTCCTCAGGATTTTTGTGCAAAAACCTGCCACGAGATAAGAGTCTTATCCCAAAGCTGCCAAATGAGGGGACATGGTGCCACCCATGGGACCCCAGAGCATCATCTTGCCCACCAAAGGTGTGGGCAGACCCCAGCAGGGCCTGCTGCTGTGCAGCTGTGCTGTTGTGCTGTGCTGGCCTCGGCTGGCAGCCAGGTACTCACAGGCGCTCGTAGAGCCGCACCTCACAGGCCAGCGGCACCGACACCCAGTGGATGAAAGCCTTGGGCTTTTCTGCCACATCCGACTTGGTGCAGGTCACCTCCAGCTCAATGACACGCCCACTGACGTCCTGAGGGAGAGGAGAGGAGCTAAGCTGTCAGGCTTATCCCCTATGGCAGGCCCAGGGCTGAACCCCCAGCCCCACAGCTCGGGGCACCTCGTTCCCCAGTGCGAGGCACAGGGCAGGCAGAGAGCAGCCACACAGCAGCTGAGCCCTTGCTGTGTGCAGAGCAGCCAGCATGACACGACCATGGCTGTTCTTCTCTGCTGGGGCACGGCCATGTCCTGACATTCCACAGGTCACCAGTGCCCACAGCCACGCACCTTGATGACATTCTGGACGGTGATGACGTAGCCAGTGTGGCGCAGCCCCACCGGCTGCCCGCGGGCCAGGCGCTTGTAGCCCTTGTCTGCCTCCTGTAAGAGAGTTCACGGCTGCATCAGGGGTCCCAGCATGGCCAGCAGGCCCCCGCTCTGTTGTGTCTCTCTGCCACCCCAGGGATCAGTGATCCCATGTTGCTGTGGGACGTTCTCACAGACAGGCCAGGTTGAGAACCATTGGTTGGACAAGTCCTGGCCAGGCTGAGGGCAGCATTTGTCCATCACAGCTGCTGGCCCATTTGAGAGTCACAGTCAGGAGCTCAACACCTGCCTGTGACCTCTGTGTGCAGCACCAACACCACTTCCAGGGCTGCCAGGCTCCTGCTGCACAAGCTATAGCTCCAGGAGTGAGGGTAGTATAGTACAGTATAGTCCAGTGGGCCTGGCTCACCTCCCTGAAGTCTGTCTCCTCAATGTAGACGGTCTGGTGGAAGGGCACTTTGTGAAAACCACGGCTCTCATCGGCTGGAAAGTTGGGCACAAGGACCTCCAGTGCCTGGGGAGAAAGAGGGCTTGAATGCTGATCTCAAGGAACCCCACTCCCACAACAGCCTACGACAGTCTCACCTTTGGAGCAGGGAAGTTGGTGATGGTGACCTTGAGGGGCTCCAGGACAGCCATGGCACGGGGGGCCTGCTCATTCAGCACCTCCCGGGCACAAGCCTCCAGCAGATGCGGCTCCATTGTTGCCTGGGCCACTGTCACACCAACCTGAGGAACAGCGTGCTGTGACCGTGCTGGCCAGGGGATGCAGCCATCTGCCCTGTCCCACCCTTCCCAAAGCCTACCCGTGCACAGAAGTTGTTGATGGCCTCGGGGGGGAAGCCTCGCCGGCGCAGGGCTGTCAGCGTGAAGAGACGCGGGTCATCCCAGTCCCTGCGGAAACACCGCTGTGACACCAGGCATGCTCTGGCTGAGCCCCATCACGGCAGCTGGCCCTGCTCCTACCTCACAGCACCCGTCTCAACCAGCCGGATGATCTTTCTCTTGGAGACGACGGTGTAGAGCAGGTTCAGGCGCCCATATTCCCACTGCACAGGGCAGTAAACATCCAGAGCGTTGCACAGCCAGAAGTAGGAGGAGCGCCTGCAAGGGAGGTACAGGCACAGCCCAGCTCAGCTGCATGGACACGCTGTCCCCCAGCCTCTGGCAGCCACCAGAAGCTGCTCCCAGGATAGCTCAGCCCTGGGCCATGGCATGCATGGTGCTCACCTGGCCTGGAACTCCTTGGTGCAGAGGGAGTGTGTGATGTGCTCGATGGAGTCGCAGAGGCAGTGTGTGTAGTCATACGTGGGGTAGATGCACCTGCAAGGCAGATGCAGTCAGCTCAGGGCAGAGCGTGGTGCTGCTCCACTCCTGATACGTCCTCACTACCAGGAAATCCAGACCCACCCCCACCACATGTGCCAGGACACGGCAGGCCCTCCCTACCACTTGTCCCCAGTGCGGTGGTGTGGAGTGAACTTGACACGGTAGGCAACGGGATCCATCTTCCCATCCTCCATCACCAGCTTCATCCTCAGCGTGGCTTCCCCCTCCCCAAACTTGCCCTTTCTCATGTCCTGTGGAGACAGGGGGAGCTGTGAGCTGAGCCACAGATCCAGAGCCCACAGGCACGCAGCACCTGCCCCAGCCAGGAGTACCTCAAAGAGCAGGAGTGACTCCTCCACAGGCCGGTCCCGCCACGGCGAGGGCGGTGGGTTGTGGCCCTTGATCTCCTCAACCTTCTGATGGCAGACATATGCCTGACCCCTACGGAGAGGAAATGCCATCACCAGATTTGAGTGACCCATCCCCTGGGCAAGGGGGAGCCCTGATCACAGTGCAGGATATCAGCACCAGCCTGGCACATTCCTACTGCCCCACGTGCTCACCTGCGGATGAGCTCCAGGGCCCAGGAGTAGAGCTGGTCAAAGTAATCCGAGGCATGTGTCACTGCATAAGGCTGGTAACCTGTGGGGATGGGTGAGATAGAACAGGCTGGAGGAACCCCAAAGGTCCAGCTGCAAGACCTGAATGCAGGGGTGTCCCTGGCACCTGGCTTGGTCCTGCCCTCCCCATGCCCAGCCATACCCAGCCACTCCACCATGTCCCGGATGGCTGTGAAGTATTTCTCCTCCTCCTTCTCGGGGTTGGTGTCGTCGTAGCGCAAGAAACACACGCCACCATTGGCCTGGGGATGAAGAGATAGCGAGCTGCTCTCTGAGGGACCAGCAGCCAAGCAGCAGGGAAAGGCAGGGGCCAGGGTGGCTTGGTGCTTTTTACCTTGGCATAGCCAAAGTTGAAGTTGATGGCCTTGGCATGGCCAATGTGCAGGATCCCGTTAGGCTCAGGAGGGAAGCGTGTCCGTACCTGCAGAGGCAAAGGGAACACCTCTCTCCTTCAGCAGGAGGTTTTTACCCTCCCTGACAGCAGTGACACTGACATGAGCCCCTGGCAATCCCGCAGAGCACCCTGTGCTGTGTGGGTGCTGCCTCTGCTGTGCCCCCTGTGATCTGCGTGTTCCCCACCCACTCCAGCTGTGTCACTCTCACACGGAAGCTCTGGGCTGTGGGATATGGCCTCACCTGCCCACCCGTGATTGCCAGGTGCTGCTTCAGCAGGGCCATCGTGTTGGGTGTCACCACGTAGCCCTCAGTCTTGTAGTTCTCTCCTGCAGGCAGAGGGTGCTCAGGGCTGCAGCACTGCCCTACCTATGCCAAGCCCAGCAGCCGGGGGGAAGGACACAGGACCCATCCAGTCCTCTGCAGCACAGAGAGCTGGCACCAGGCACAGAGCCAGTGGAGTGGCCCCACGTATGGCAGTG